TATTTTTTGGAAAACTTTAAGGAGAATGGGTATTATGTCTTCTCTGTATGTCTGGTAGCACTCTGCAGTAAATCCATCTGGCCCAGGAGTTTTGCTCTTGGATAGTTTTTTGATTACCGCTTCAATTTCGTTGCTGGTAATTGGTCTGTTTAGATTTTCTGTTTCTTCCTTGGTCAGTCTTGGAAGGTTCTCTTTTTCTAGGAAGTTGTCCATTTCTTCTAGGTTTTCCAGCTTGTTAGCATATAGTTTTTTGTAGTTTCTCTAACAATTCTTTGTATTTCTGTGGGGTCCATCATTTTTCCTTTCTCATTTCTGATTCTGTTGTTGTGTGTAGACTCTCTTTTTCTTTTTATAAGTCTGGCTAGGGGCTTATCTATTTTGTTTATTTTCTCAAAGAACCAGTTCTTGGTTTCATTGATTTTTTTTCTATTGTTTTATTCTTCTCAATTTTATTTATTTCTTCTCTGATCTTTATTATGTCCTCCTTCTGCTGACTTTAGACCTCATTTGTTCTTCTTTTTCCAATTTCGATAATTGTGTCTTTAGACTATTCATTTGGGATTGTTCTTCCTTCTTTAAGTATGCCTGGATTGCTATATAGTTTCCTCTTAAGACTGCTTTTGCTGTGTCCCACAGAAGTTGCGGCTTTGTGTTGTTGTCATTTGTTTCCATATATTGCTTGATCTCTATTTTAATTTGATCATTGATTCATTGATTATTTAGGAGCATGTTGTTAAGCCTCCATGTGTTTGTGGTCCTTTTTGTTTTCTTTGTACAATTTATTTCTAGTTTTATAGCTTTTTGGACTGACAAGTTGGTTGGTAGAATTTCAGTGTTTTTTAATTTACTGATGCTCTTTTTGTGGCCTAGAATGTGGTCTATTCTGGAGAATGTTCCATGTGCACTTGAGAAGAATGTGTATCCTGTTGCTTTTGGGTGTAGAGTTCTATAGATGTCTATTAGGTCCCTCTGTTCTAGTGTGTTGTTCAGTGCCCCTGTGTCCTTACTTATTTTCTGTCTGGTGGATCTGTCCTTTGGAGTGAGTGGTGTGCTGAGGTCTCCTAAAATAAATGCATTGCATTCTATTTCCTCCTTTAATTCTGTTAGTATTTGTTTCACATGTGTTGGTGCTCCTGTACTGGGTACATATATATTTATAATGGTTATATCCTCTTGTTGGATTGACCCCTTTATCATTATATAATGTCCTTCTTTATCTCTTGTGACTTTCTTTGTTTTTAAGTCTATTTTGTCTGATACTAGTACTGCAACACCTGCTTTTTTCTCCTTGTTGTTTGCGTGAAATACGTTTTTCCATTCCTTGACTTTTAGTCTGTGCATGTCTTTGGGTTTGAGGTGAGTCTCTTGTAAGCAGCATATAAATAGGTCTTGCTTTTTTATCCATTCTGTTACTCTGTGTCTTTTGATTGGTGCATTCAGTCCATTTACATTTAGGGTGATTATTAAAAGATATGTACTTATTGCCATTGCAGGCTTTAGGTTCATGGTTACCAAAGGTTCAAGGTTAGCTTCTTTATGATCTTACTGTCTAACTTTACTCACTTATTGAGCTATTATAAACACAGTCTGATGATTCTTTATTTCTCTCCCTTCTTATTCCTCCTCCTCCATTCTTTGTATGTTAGGTGTTTTTTTGTGTGTATGTGCTCTTTTGTGTTTCCTTTGACTGCTTTTGTGGGTAGTTGATTTTATTTTTTGCCTTTAGTTAGTATTTGGTTGGTCTGCCTTCTTTGCTGTGATTTTATTTTCTCTGGTGACATCTGTTTAGCCTTAGGAGTGCTCCATCTAGAGCATCCCTCTGAAATACCCTGCAGAGGTGGTTTGTGTGAGGCAAATTCCCTCAACTTTTGCTTGTCTTGGAATTGTTTAATCCCTCATTCGAATTTAAATGATAATCGTGCTGGATACAGTATCCTTGGTTCTTGGTTCAAGGCCCTTCTCTTTCATTGCATCAAATATATCATGCCATTCTCTTCTGATCTGTAAGGTTTCTGTGGAGAAGTCTGAAGATAACCTGATGAGTTTTCCTTTGTAGGTGACATTTTTTCTCTCTCTGGCTGCCTTTAATATTCTGTCCTTGTCTTTGATCTTTGCCATTTTAATTATTATGTGTCTTGGTGTTGTCCTCCTTGAGTCCCTTCTGTTGGGAGTTCTGTGGGCTTCCATAGTCTGAGAGGCTATTTCCTCTTCCAGTTTGGGGAAGGTGTCAGCAGTTATTTCTTCAAAGACACTTTCTATCCGTTTTTCTCTCTCTTCTTCTTCTGGTTCCCCTATAATGCAGATATTGTTCCATTTCGTTTGGTCACACAGTTCTCTTACTATTCTTTCATTCCTGGAGGTCCTTTCATCTCTCTCTGCGTCAGCTTCTCTGTGTTCCTGTTCTCTGGTTTCTATTCCATCAATGGTCTCTTGCATCTCATCCATTCTGCTTTTAATTCCTTCCAGAGATTGTTTTATTTCTGTATTCTCCCTCCTTAGCTCTTGCATATTTCTCTGCATGTCCATCAGCATGGTTATGACTTTTATTTTGAATTCTTTTTCTGGAAGATTGGTTAGATCTATCTCCCCAGGTTCCCTCTCAGGGGAGGATGTCTGTGTGATTTTGGTCTGAATCAAATTCTTCTGCCTTTTCATGGCAATGGGCAGATGGCGCATGTGTCAGCTGGGAAAACAAAATCCCTTCCTGCTTGCTCCTCGCGTTCCTCTCCTGGGAGAACGGCGACCCCTAGCGGCTTGTGCTGGGCACTTGCCTGCAGACGGCATCTCTGATTCTTGCCCAGCCGCTGTGGAGGAAGCTCTGCACAGCTGCTGTGGTTGTGGCCGCCCTCAGGCTGCTGCTATGCTATGGCGGGGCCGCGCCAGAGGGGGAACAGGCGGGAGGCTGTTTATCGCCATGAGGGACCTCTGAGCTGCGTTGCTGCCCAGGGGTTAGGGCGCCCAGAGTTCCCCGGCATTCCCAGCTGCTAGGCTGAGTGTGCCAGGATGCTTCCGTCCAGCTGTGAGTTCCCTGTCCCTTTAAGACTTTCAAAAAGCACTTGCTTTTCTTTTGTCCCAGGGGCGCCGGCTGCAGGGTCCCAATCGCAGGTTTTGCTGTCCCGTTTCCCTGGTGTCCAGCACCCCATGCACTGTGTGTCTGCGCTCCTGGTGTGGATGGCTAGGGCTGGGTGTTTAGCAGTCCTGGGCTTCCACTCCCTCCCCGCTCTGACTCCTCTACTCCTGCTGGGGAGCTGGGGTGAGGGGTGCTCGGTTCCCACCGGGCCTTGGCTTGTATCTTACCCCCTTTGCAAGGTGCAGGGTTCTCACAGGTGTAGATGTAGCCTGGCTGTTGTGTATCTTCTGGTCTCTCTTTTAGGGATAGTTGTATTTGTTGTATTTTCAAAAACATATATGTTTTTGGGAGGAGATTTCCGCTTTCCTACCCATGCCACCATCTTGGCTCCTCCTCCTCTGAGTGAGCACATTTTAAAAGAGTAAATATTGCTACATTTAATTTAAATTGCTTACGTGAGTCCTAGTTAATTGGCATGCTGAGAGAAGCCCAGGGCTGTCTGCTGATCATGGTGGCTACGTCCTCAAACACTGGATTTCAGAATGCTGACATCTGCAGTCTTCTTGGGAAGTGTGAAGTCAACAGGAGGCGGCAGTTCACACCTTGTAGACCGGGCCAGCCAGGCTTCTTTTTCATCTTTTTGGGTCATAAAAAAGTACTAAAGACTTGTCTGCTCTTAGACAGAACTGCTGGGTAAAATATGTACTCCTGTTTGTGAGCCACCACGCAGGCAAGTCCCCGTTTAATAAGGGGTTTTATCCTAAAGGTTGACAGGAGATGATGGAGAGCACAGAACATCTCATGAAAACAGTGTCCCAGATGTTGTAGGTCCTGGGCTGGCCATGGCCCCCATATGCAGGTCTGCCTCCAGCCACCCCTCACCAGTCCCCTGAGGTCTCGGGGCCGCTGGCTGAGGGGTTGTGGGGGTTTCAGGACTGCCTCTCTGCATCTGGACCTGGGAAGCTGATGGTTGGCCGCTTGGGTCCCTCTGTCTGCTTCCAGTTAGTGGCATTGGGACATGTCCATCATCATTTCTTTCTGAAGTGAAAACTTTTAGAAACAAGTGTAGAATAGAAACACTTGTAAATAAAACCAAGCTCTGAAGGTCACTGAGGCTCAGAGGAGAGATGGGGGCACATATGTGGTGCCTGGCATAGCAAGCCCTCTGTCAGTGGTACTTTTTTTTTGCTCAACTTTGCACATTTCAGATATGAGGAGTTAAAATCTTACATTATATGCTCAATGAAGAGGTGGTTTTATTATAATTATACCAGACCTGGTTGAAATACAGATGCTTCTGCGTATTAGAGCTCTTTTAAAAAAAGCAGAACCATCGCAGCCTGAAGGAGGGAGAGTCTTTTTACCCTTATACTGCAGGGCTTTGCAGTGGGGTCCTGTTATGGTAGTGCGTGCCGGTGGGCTGCGCATGAGGCACATTCCGTGAAAATAACCAGATAGATAAGCAGCTTGGTGCCCTTTCCTGCCAGCCCCATGGCTGCTAAACTGTAGGTGTGTGATGGGGAGGGTCAGGCGCAGGGTGGCCACTCCACAGGCTACCCAAAGGAGGCTTCTCTGGTAATGAGAAGGCAGTGATGCTGGGGGGCTGCTGCTGAGAGCCACCTGACCTCCCGGTGTCGGCATAGGAAGGGCGTGTGTGGAAGTGGCAGGTGCACTGCTGTGAACAAGTGGGCCATCAGCAGCTTGGCGCTCAGGTGGGACACTGGAGCAGGAAGGAACTTTCACGCAGCCTTTCCACTGGCACAGGCAAGAGTGAGGAGCAGTGGGCGCCACCTGGGGGAGACACATTGTGTCTGGTTCCAGGTGAGGGAGGCAACAGCTCCCTGTGTCCTGGAGGGCAGGTGACACTCGGGACTGCGCCCAGCAGGTGCTCCTCCAGGTGGACACACACCATTTCCCCTGCTTCTTGCAGACCGCTTGCTTCCGGGAGGAGCGTGATGTGCTGGTGAACGGCGACTGTCAGTGGATCACCACACTGCACTACGCCTTTCAGGATGAAAACTACCTGGTATGTTGCCACCACGAATGGGAAGACCTAGGCAGATGGCACTTGCTGGCGCTCATCCTCTGTGCTGTCACCACCAATGGGAAGTGATGCGTTTAAGTGCGCCTCTGACCAGATAAAACTAGGGGCTGCTTTAGTGTAATGATCATCAGGTGGGATTTTTTAAGAAGAGACTTGTGAAACTATGTATACTTTGTTTTTCTCTAAGCACTAAATAACTTGACTACCTTGTTCATTGGGTTTATTACATTTAAATAGACGGGGGTGGGGAGGTTAGGGCATTTCCATCTTAAATTGTGTGGAAGGGTAAGAAACTGCTGTGTGGATTTGAAATGCTGCAGCTGAGTCACTGAGTGGGTGTCTCCGCCTCCGCGTCCGCCTCCACCCCGTTGGCGGCCAGGTTGGAGAGCTGCAGCTTTGTGGCCCTCCCAGTGGTCGAGCTGGGCTCTGTGAGGCCGTTGACACCGGTTTTTGGGTGACTCTTGGTTTCCATGCCCTTGTCATTTATTTATTCTTCCGGCTTGAGCTGGGGCTTGTTTTCAGTACCGGCTGCTTAGCTTTGCGGTCCACAGCTGGTGTAGGGCTGGACTTGAGTGGTCCGTAGAGCAGACACAAGAGTTCAGAAGTGACAGGTAAGCAGACCTTTGGTGTCAGACACTGAGTGATTCACAGCCGCTCTGTTAGGACCCCAAGTTCGAACATGGCTTAGTAAATATACAAGGTCCATACCGTGGAGCTCTGGGTGGGCAGGTGTAGGCACAGACCTCGGAGAAGTCCTCTCAGCCTGGCTGCTCTGGCCACAACGCTTCTGGCACCGTCTCCCCAGCAGTGGCTGCCCGGGGGCTGTGGGTCCCGCAGCCTCGGGGCAGGGACCTAGGCTGCGTTCTGTTCTGTAAGTTCTTTCTTGGTCATGTGCTCCGTTTGCTTACAAGCAGAGTAATGGAGGATTTCTTTTGTTCATTTTGAAATAATCTCTTTGAGACATCTAAGAAATCCCTTAGATTCAAATGCACAGGATTAGGTAAAACTGTTTGTTATGCTCTTCATTTAGAATTTATATATGTTTGTTCTGACAGAGTGGGGCTGCTGGTGTTTGTTGAGCACAAGCCCAGGGGTTATCTCAGTCTTCCAGGGACCCAGTGAGGTGGGCATTCATGATTGCTACTGTTTTCGAATGGGGTATCTGGGACGAGGAGAGAGGAAGTCTTTGGCTGAGTTTATGGCACAGACACGGGAGGCCTGAGCCCTCCCTCCGGCAGCAGCAGATCCTGATGCTCTGGGGCCGTCTCTGTGTAAACCCCCTGCTCTGGGTGAACTGTCTCCAGTTCATTCCCTGTTCTGGTGAGAATTGAGTGGAGTTTCCCAAGCAGTGCTGGGCAACATGGGTCTGTACAGGAGGAAAACCACATTTTTTTGCTTCTAATGCTTTTCCTGAAATCAGCATAGCATGTTACTGTCTGGAACTTTAGCCATTATGAAGCTGCTTCTGTGCGAAGGCAGTCAGTTTGGAATTCCAGTGAAGAAGCCAGCCTCTCGAGTTGTTGGAGTTGCCTGATGGAAGCACAGTGACAGTTAATGAGAGAAGACAGGCGGCCTGGGTCCTGTTCTGGGCATCAGCAGGCCCAGGCCTGGCCACTGTTCCTGCCACCCACAGGTGGTGCCTCGGGCAGGTTCTTACCTTCCTGGCACCACGGCAGTTACCCTGCTGTGGGTGGTGGTGAGGTGGTACAAGGTACAGGCTGTGTCAGGGTCCTCGGGCTGCCCTGCAGAGCCACTTCGTGTTACCCTTTCTGTTGAAGGTCTCTAAACTTGGCATTCTATAAACATTAAACCTGTTTCACCAGTAACTAAATGGGTGTTGCCTTACTGACTTAGTTCAGAATCCTGTGTTACGTGACAGAAGAAGTAATCAGTCTAGTTCTTACCAAAAATTAGTTTCTGCTTGTCTGCCTTATGAGCCATTCAGGTTTTCCAGAAGCCCATCAATCATATTTAATGTTTTTTATTTTTCTGTCTAGATTCTAGGTAGACACAGAGACCATGGAGGGCCCGCCAGATGCGGTGCTTGGCTCGTTGATTCTCTGTGCTTAGGGCCGAGAGACGTTGGCTCTTCCTTCACATGACCTCCCCTTCCACGTGCACACCCGTCAGCGGGAGTTGTGGCCTCTTCCACAGATGCCTACAGTACCTATGGCCCATGTCTTCATTCTTTCCACCCCTCACCAGCCTGTCATCCTCACCTCCTGCCTGGGCCACATTGACCTCCCAGTTCCCCTCCCACCCTGCTCTTGTCCTGCATCTTCCAGCTCCTCCTTCCCAGGGCAGTGAGAGAAAGTGCATACCCCTTAGCCAGGCTGCAGCTTCCCCTGCTCCTCGAGGGGGCCTGCGGGGTCTGGCCTTATCCCCTCCTCACTCATGCACCGCTGTAGTCAGTTTTCCGTCCCTCCAGCAGGCCACATTCATCCTCCCCTTAGCCTCTGCACACATCCCTTTGTCTGGAACCCAGTCCGTGGCCCTACTGAGGCCAGCTCCTGCCCGTCATCCAGGCCCCGCACATCCGCAGCCATGCCATGCGGCTCAGCACTCGTTCTGACAGACGCCGCTCTGACATCACCACGATCGTCTCCATGCTTGCTGTGGTCTCTCCCTGTGCTGACGTCAGCTCCACAGAGTGGGGCCTGTCCCCCAGAGGGGTGCCGACAGCTTCTTAGGAGGAAATGAGTGAGAGGCTGAGAGAAGGGGCTCGCACCTGCCAAGAGCCTGCTGCAGAGCAGGAGCCGTGCAGCGGGTGGGGGCAGGATGCGAGTACTTGGGACTCACACACTCGCTGTGGACTGGAGGGTGGGAAGGTCAGCCCCCGAGACCAGGCCAGGGAAGGTCCCTGGGAGGAGGCGTCAGTTGGAGTGAGCCTCAGAAGCTGCGTCTCTGAGGCAGAATGGGAGAGTCGTCCATAAAAATTCCACTGGAGAACAGGGCCCTAGAGTGAAGGCCCCTCCTGCAGATGAGCGCGGGGGCACAGCAGCCGTCTCCTTCCTGTGCGGAGCCGTAGCGCTTGGGTCGAGATCCGGGTCTGGGGTCTGGCTGCTTGGGTTCGAATCGTAGCTCTGCCTCTAGCTGCGTGCCTGGGCATGTCATCAAGCCCTGGGTCCTTGCCTGCAAAGTGGACCCTGGGTAGCACCTGTGGCCAGGGTGTGTGAGCACTACTGAGGTGATGGCGTGGTCAGCACCTCAACTTGCTCGCTGAGTGGTAGCTGCCCAGTAAACATTAAATAACTGTTTTTCTCTGGCTGCATAGACAGGGTGCTGGTATTTCTTCTCTGTGTTGGTTAGTTTAAAGTTAACTGCTCAGACCAGACCATGGATCTCTTAAACGGAAACGGTTATCAAAGAAGGTGATTCCTGCGTCTAGGGCCGCCGGCTTCTCGAGCATCTCTGAGATGTGGCTGCCGGGCCCTTGGGCAGGTGGCTCGCTCCCAAGAGCAGAACACCCAGCCCCTCAGCATTTCCTCTCTTGGGGCTCTGATTCCCACTGAACAGTAGATTTTCTGGCTGTTCCATGGGGGTGAGCCCGTACTTAGCTTACAGCTAGTTTCACTTGACTGTGGACAGCTCACCTCCCTGCTCTGGCCCACTGTCTTCCTGTGACGTGAGGACCTAGAGAATCATTTTTAACACAGTAGCACTTGACAGTCGACTATTAATCATGCTTCCACTGTGGAGCACTGGCTGCTAAAGTGCCTTCTCCAGCATCAAACCCTTTTTCCATTGATTAAATGTTATTTGTTGAAGTTCATTCTCTACCAGATGCATAGCTTTAAATAATCTCAGTATCATCTAACACACCACGGTTGTGTTCTGGGAGGGAAAGTCCTAGATGACAGCAGCACCAGGGGAGCCATCGGTTCCAGCTTGGGGCTGACAGCTTCCATGTTAAGAGTTGGGCCTTCAACTGTCAGGTGGTGACTGAATACTGTGCTCTCTCCCCTGTCCTGATCTGTAGTACTTGGTCATGGATTACTACGTGGGTGGTGATTTACTCACCCTGCTCAGTAAATTTGAAGACAAGCTCCCAGAAGATATGGCAAGATTCTACATTGGTGAGATGGTGCTGGCCATTGACTCCATCCATCAGCTTCATTATGTGCACAGGTAATCACCTTACAGATTTTATGGAACCCCATGCAATGTGTTAAACTATTCCTCTCGGAGTTCCCTGACCCACTGACCCAGATACCAAGCTGTCTAGAGAAGTTATACAATAGCTGTCCTCACGTGGAACTGCCACAGCATAAAGTGACTTACTCAGGTCACCCTCTGCGGACCCCAGCGCCTGGCCCTGCCCCCAGGAGATTCCAGCTCTATTGTGACTGTGGTGATGATCTTACTCCCACCACCCAAAGCCACCTTGTCTTTTGGTACTTACTTGATGTTGACTCACCCTCTCCCCTGCTGCTGCATCTCCTCCAGATGCCTACCTGCCCCCTGAGCTCATGTGGGTTTCCCATCCCACTGTGTCTCTGTCATCTCCGCTCCACCTTCTCTCTGTCTCATACCAACCCCAGGGGCCACAGCCTTGATCACCCCACAGAACACTCAGAAGAAAGATTGGGGTGAAGAGAGAGGCTCACATCACAGCAGCGTAAGGGGCCTGAGTTGAGTAAGAGTGTGACTGTCCGCAGGAGGGTCATATGGGGTGAAAGTATGAGGCAGGCCCTTCGGCTCCCCCACCCACTCTGCTTCGGGGGTAGCACCTTAACGCTGGTGCAGTGGCCCTGAGGGCTGTTTGTTTGAGTTGTTTTATTTTTATCAAAGTAATTCCATGGCAGTAGTTTTAAAAAGTCTAAATAGTTCTACAGGGCTTGTAACAAAACGGGAGTCCCAGCCCTGCCCTGATGCCACTCTCCACGGGTGGCACCTGTCACTTCTTAGCTGCTTCTCCGGTACCTGACCTCGTCTGTCCAGGTATCATGAGGGGGTCAGAGCTGCCAAAGTGGACGTGTACTCTCCTACCTAAAGCATCTCTCCCACATGTGTTCCAGACCCCCCTCTCGCACGCTGTCCCAGTTAGTAGAATAACAGCTTTTGGCTAAATAAGTGTTTGCTATTTATAATATAATGATTGTGAATATTACTCACAGATGAGCCTCGTAGTGTACAATAGTTACACTGCTGTAAATTGTCTTCTCTGGAGTTAATAATTACCCTGCTTTTTTATTAGCTAGCTTCTGTGTAGCTGTCACCAATTATCTCCCAATATGGTGGCCAAATCAAACAGCTCTAGCCATGTCGGGAAGCACCTCATCTTTCCTGGGCGTGGTCCCCTCCAGCCTCGCCATTCCTCTCAGCTTTGGTCTTCTCCAGGCTCATTAGACTGTTCTCTTTCTGGGATTTCTTTTCAAGTGGAAAGATTCCCCTCCCTGCGTCTGGGGCTGGGCCCTTGTTCCTGAGTCACACATCTCCCCCTTTCTCAGTTTATTCTCTGGATTTGGTAGCACATGTCCTGCATGGGAGGAAGAGGAGGCCTGCGAGAAAACTGACAGCAGCATCTCAGGCCCGCCACATGGTGACTGATACCTTATCCCGTGTGCAGTTTGAGATTAGGAACTGCCTTCTTCGCGGGACCACACGGGACCACTCCTGTCTCCTGCCCTCAGTGTTGCTGTGGAGGTTTGCAGCCATCGCAGTTCCCCTGGCATCACCTTGTGTGGGTCACAGACCGCTCCCGGCTCAGCCTCCACAGCCTGTCATTTTCCTGCGCAGACGGGGTTCCTGCTCTGAGAACAGCACGGGCTCCCAGGGCCGGAGCGGCCCCGCTGCTTGGAAGGAGCTGGGAGCCGGGGTGCCCCGCACCACAGCGAGCCCAGGGAGCTGCCCCCACATAGCAGCTGTGTCTTCTGGGGTGATGAGCTCAGGCCAGACTTCTGTTTTCTCATACGCTTCTCGTGTAGTTACGCCTGCTTCTGTCGCAGTTACTGTAGTTGTTCTTAACGTTAGAGCTACACTCTACCTTTTTGACAGAACTCTGCCTAATTCATACCAGAGATAAATGTCTTTGGATTTGTCTCAGATCTCCAGGGAAATTAATTTGACCACCTTTTTAGTAGTTTCTTCTTTTCCTGTGTCCCCTAATTAGAAACCTTTCTCCTCATTCTCTTAATTGGCTTTGTAGAAGCTCTGTTCTGTCATTTGACTTCCAGACATACTAGGAGACATTATGTAATTCTAACCCTCCCCATAAACTCAGTATTTAGACTAAGTGCTTGAATGACCCAGTCTAACAACAGAAAGTTTTGTGTTTTTGCTAGAAAGTTCACAAAGTCAGGTTTTATAGGAAGTCGGCCCTATCTCTTTGTGGGTACATTGTGAATAAGTGGAAACTACATTTGGTAGGGCCAGAAATTAGTGAATTGCATTAGCACAAGAGTTATATTACCAGTGGGTGTGACAGGCATGACTCAGACCCTGTGCCATAGCTTCAGGCCCTTGTGGTTGAATGTGGCCCTTGGTGACTTGGGGGCAGTGCCTGCTGCTCACCAGCTGGGCTTCTGTTGGCAGAACAGCTGCTCCCTGGCTCTGGCAGCAAGGAAGCAGTGGGAAGCCAAGGCCAGAAGCACACTGTGCAGGTGGGCGCCTGAGAGGCTTGCCCCTGGTGCCAGCAGAGGCGGAAGCCAAGGGTGAAGGTACGTGGAGGATTGCGGACAGGGAACATGACACCCTGGAAGAGCGGGTTGTACATCTCGTAAAAGAAATGGAAATGGGGGACAAGTTTAAGGGAAAGACTGTTCAGAGAACAAAAAAGGTCTTAGAAAAGAAAGACTAGACAAAGTAGAGAGCTGAGAAGAGGTGATGGGAAAGTAGGGAAATCTGAGCAAGGTGGAGAAGTAGGACGCATCGGTGTCACAGTGGCTCTGGAACCGCCCCCCAAGGAGGGGATCTGATTGATCTCCACCCGAAGGGCTCCCCAGTTGTCCTGACGCCAGCTTGCTTGCTTACTGAATGTACCTTTGCCCTCTTGATTTGACATGACATCTCTGTTGTTGGTCTGGTCTGGGCATCGCCCTCTGCCCTGTTGTCCCTGTGTCTGTCCGTGCACTGGGATACTACCACTTTGCTCATGGAGGCTTGGAATCACGTGGCCAGACCCCCATCACACCTCTTTATCCTCCGTGTTTTTCTGGCTACATTTTGGTGTTGATTGATCCACAAGAGCTTCACTTTCAACTTTGTCTGGCTCCAAAAAGAACAGGACATTGATTTTTTTTTTAATTTGATGGGCCTCCTCATCTATACATTTTTTTTAACTTCTGGAAAGTTCTCTTGGATTACAGTTTCAAATATTAGTTATATTCTATTTTAATTTCTTCAAGAACTCTGTTTATATATGTGTTGGACCTTCTTGTCTCCCCAGCAGTGGCTGCCCGGGGGCTGTGGGTCCCGCAGCCTCGGGGCAGGGACCTAGGCTGCGTTCTGTTCTGTAAGTTCTTTCTTGGTCATGTGCTCCGTTTGCTTACAAGCAGAGTAATGGAGGATTTCTTTTGTTCATTTTGAAATAATCTCTTTGAGACATCTAAGAAATCCCTTAGATTCAAATGCACAGGATTAGGTAAAACTGTTTGTTATGCTCTTCATTTAGAATTTATATATGTTTGTTCTGACAGAGTGGGGCTGCTGGTGTTTGTTGAGCACAAGCCCAGGGGTTATCTCAGTCTTCCAGGGACCCAGTGAGGTGGGCATTCATGATTGCTACTGTTTTCGAATGGGGTATCTGGGACGAGGAGAGAGGAAGTCTTTGGCTGAGTTTATGGCACAGACACGGGAGGCCTGAGCCCTCCCTCCGGCAGCAGCAGATCCTGATGCTCTGGGGCCGTCTCTGTGTAAACCCCCTGCTCTGGGTGAACTGTCTCCAGTTCATTCCCTGTTCTGGTGAGAATTGAGTGGAGTTTCCCAAGCAGTGCTGGGCAACATGGGTCTGTACAGGAGGAAAACCACATTTTTTTGCTTCTAATGCTTTTCCTGAAATCAGCATAGCATGTTACTGTCTGGAACTTTAGCCATTATGAAGCTGCTTCTGTGCGAAGGCAGTCAGTTTGGAATTCCAGTGAAGAAGCCAGCCTCTCGAGTTGTTGGAGTTGCCTGATGGAAGCACAGTGACAGTTAATGAGAGAAGACAGGCGGCCTGGGTCCTGTTCTGGGCATCAGCAGGCCCAGGCCTGGCCACTGTTCCTGCCACCCACAGGTGGTGCCTCGGGCAGGTTCTTACCTTCCTGGCACCACGGCAGTTACCCTGCTGTGGGTGGTGGTGAGGTGGTACAAGGTACAGGCTGTGTCAGGGTCCTCGGGCTGCCCTGCAGAGCCACTTCGTGTTACCCTTTCTGTTGAAGGTCTCTAAACTTGGCATTCTATAAACATTAAACCTGTTTCACCAGTAACTAAATGGGTGTTGCCTTACTGACTTAGTTCAGAATCCTGTGTTACGTGACAGAAGAAGTAATCAGTCTAGTTCTTACCAAAAATTAGTTTCTGCTTGTCTGCCTTATGAGCCATTCAGGTTTTCCAGAAGCCCATCAATCATATTTAATGTTTTTTATTTTTCTGTCTAGATTCTAGGTAGACACAGAGACCATGGAGGGCCCGCCAGATGCGGTGCTTGGCTCGTTGATTCTCTGTGCTTAGGGCCGAGAGACGTTGGCTCTTCCTTCACATGACCTCCCCTTCCACGTGCACACCCGTCAGCGGGAGTTGTGGCCTCTTCCACAGATGCCTACAGTACCTATGGCCCATGTCTTCATTCTTTCCACCCCTCACCAGCCTGTCATCCTCACCTCCTGCCTGGGCCACATTGACCTCCCAGTTCCCCTCCCACCCTGCTCTTGTCCTGCATCTTCCAGCTCCTCCTTCCCAGGGCAGTGAGAGAAAGTGCATACCCCTTAGCCAGGCTGCAGCTTCCCCTGCTCCTCGAGGGGGCCTGCGGGGTCTGGCCTTATCCCCTCCTCACTCATGCACCGCTGTAGTCAGTTTTCCGTCCCTCCAGCAGGCCACATTCATCCTCCCCTTAGCCTCTGCACACATCCCTTTGTCTGGAACCCAGTCCGTGGCCCTACTGAGGCCAGCTCCTGCCCGTCATCCAGGCCCCGCACATCCGCAGCCAT